GGAAAATCCAGAGCAAATGGTGAGCTTTTAAAAATATGGATTAAGGGAGGGATGGCCAAGGTGTCATGCTGAACTGCCCTTCCCATGGGAAAACAGTCCACAGTTGAATCAGGCCTTTCATGCCCCTTGGTCATGTCATCGGTGGTGGTGGTGGTGTATGCCTTCAAGTTATTTCTGAGTTATGGCAACTCTAATGCGAACCTATCCTCAGGTATTCTTGGGAAGATTTCTTCTGAGGAGGTTTGCCATTGCCTTCCCCGGAGGCTGAGAGCATGTGACTTGCCCTAGGTCACCCAATGGGTTTCATGACTGAGCTGGGAATCCAACCCTGGTCTCCAGAGTCACAGTCATCACTCATACCACTACACCCTACTAGTGGCTCTGGTCATGCCATTGGGATTCCTGAAGAGCCAGATACCTGCCCTGCCAATATGGGCTTCTCCTCTGTGCCTGACCTTCTTCCAACACTCCCGAGCAAACATGGCAATGCAAGAGGCACTGGGCTCCTCAGGTTCAGGGAAGGTACTTGTAAGAATCCGAACTCTGTTTGGGCTTTAGCTCAGCATCACTAGTCCAGCTCTTCAGTGAAAGACTTGGCATCTCCTCCTCTTTTGCAAAGCTTGAGGTTGAGACTATGAATGACAGCATCCTCCCAAAGAACTCCAGCATCATCTGAGATTTCAGAGAATGTCTCTTCGAGCAGATCAAGGTGGGGAATGTGTGGTCGTCTTGTTGAACTACATCTCCCACCAGCCCTTGTCAGCATGGTCAACTCTCGGGGTTAAGAGGAGATGTAGTTCAACAACATTTGGAGGGATGTTTCGGAGAGCCAGCATGATGTGGTGGTTTGAGTGTTGGACAATGACTCTGGAGACCAGGGTTCGAATCTCTGCTTAACCATGGAAAACAACTGGGTGGCCTTGGGCAAGTCAAAATCTCAGAGGAAGGGAAAGGCAAAAGCAAACCCCCTCTGAACAAATCATGCCAAAAAAAACCCTGTGATTGGTCCCTCTTAGGGTCACCATAAGTCGAAAATGTCTTATTTCAACAACAGTGTTCTCCATCTCCATTAAACAGTACAACAGCCAGTACTGTTTAAGATGGATCAGTGTTCTGACTCAGTGTAAACAAGTTTTGGATGTTCAAATCAGGCCATGTGAGATACTTTTGCCTATGCCACATCCCAAGGAGAGTGGCCTTATTAAAGAATGAGAACTGGATACAGCAACACTTGTGTAAGCTTGGTTTATTAGGAGATGAACAATTGGGTTTCATTCACAGGATAGCTATCTGACTTAGCCAACATAGCCATTGGTAAGGAAGACTGGGAGTTGCAGTCCAACAACACCGGGCGGGATGTATGATTCCAACTCTAGTTCGGTGGAAAGAATATTCATAATTATTCCCAGACCAATTTCTACTCCAGATCTAGGCCCCATTGTTGGAATCGCTCTCCAGCCTGCCTCTTTTTGGCCTCAAATCTTGGCTTTCAAAAAAATACCTTACACGTTATATGCAAGAGCCAGCATGGTGCAGTGGTTTGAGTGTTCAACTAGGATACTGGGAGCCCAGGGTTCAAACACTCAGTCAGCCATTAAGATCCACTGGGTGACTTTTGGCAAGTCACACTCTCTCAGCCTCAGAGAAAGGCAAGGGCAAACCCCCTCTGAACAAATTCTGCCACAAAACCCCTGTGATAGGTTCACCTTAGGGTTGCCATAAGTCAGAAATGACTCAGAGGCACACGACAACAACAACAACAACAACAGCATTATGTACATGTGGTGTAGTGGTTTGAGTGTTGGACTAGGGCTCTAGCGACCAGGGTTCAAATCCCAGCTTGGCCATGTCAACTCACTGTGGTCACAGGAGATGGCAATGGCAAACCCCCTCTGAAGAAATCTGCCAAGAAAACACCATAATAGGTTCACCTTAATGTCTTCATAAATCGGAAATGACTTGAAGGCACACGGCAACAACAACAAATGTTGCTGGGGACAAGATGGAGACAACAGGGAAAGCATAAGCACTGCTTGTTGCTTATGCTGTCCCTGTTGCCTCCACCTTGTCTGAATGCGAACCAACTTCTTTCTTGGAATGCATGACCTCCAGAATAATTTCTTGCAAAGGCCAACTGCTAAAAACATCAAATCGATACACAGGTATGGATTTCAGAGACTATAGGGTGTGTGCTTTTTATTTTTTATTTTTTTGTACGGATACAAAAATATGATTTTTGTGTATGGGGGGAGTGTTGCTGAGAAATCACAACTGCCGACGGATGCAAACAAATATCGACAGTGCTCACGTCTCTCTTTGCTGCCTGCACAAAACAAATAAGGGTGTGTGAAGCTGTTTGTTCAATCATGCTGGGGTTATGTATGAGCGCTTTTGTGAAATGGGGGCTTTGTCCGGGCCAGTGGCCCTCGCCAGCTGCAAGGAGACATGAGTGACCGACAGTGGGATGCACGTGCCGGTTGCCTTCCAGGCAAGACAACAATGGGGCATCATAAGAGGAATAAACTCTCCCCAGCAGCTCCCTTGCGGAGGCAGGGTATGAAGGAGTCTATGAGATCAAGACAGACGGTGTGCGAGGTTGACAGACAGACTGCCTGTCGACATGATAACTCCGAGCTCCCAAGATGCCTTTGCTTGGATGGATGGGTGCCTTGATTTATTAAAGCAGTTGCCTCCAGTCATTTCTCTGTACATCTTTTTATTATTTGGCTTGGAGGCATCTGAGGATGTGGGGGAAAGCATGACGCATCTGTGAAAAAATAATCCCCACCACCACCGTCACAGTTTTCATGGAGTCCGATGAATTTTATCACACGGAGGGTTTATCCAACCAAAAGTGTCTCCTGTTTCTCTCTGTGGTGCCAGAGAGATGTAGATCCCAGTCTTTCAGATCGATTGTGTAAAAAGCAGGATGAGCGTTTCTCACACCAGAGAGAATAACGGGGTCACCTTCAAAACCTCAAGGTGGTTTTCCTTTGAAATTATTTTAATGCTGCAATCAAGCTAAGCTTGGACCGGTTGCTTTTTTTGGATTTGAACTAGAATCCCTCAGCCAGCCCAACTAGTGACTAGCTGTTGTTGGATGCCTTCAAGTTATTTCCAGCTCATGGCAACCCTAAAGTCACCTGATCACAAAGTTTTCTTGGCATGATTTGTTCAAGGGGGGGGGGGGATTGCCATGTCCTCCCTCTGAGGCTGAGAGAGTGAGACTTGTCCAATTCAGTGGCTTTCAGAGGTAAAGCAGTGACTCAGCCCCTGAGTTGCTGTCATTTGTTGTTGTATGCCAATAAATCATTTCTATGGGGGTTTCTTACCAAATTTCTTCAGAGGGGGCTTACCATCATCATCATCATCATCATCATTTTCTTATATCCTGCCTTTCTCCTGATATAGGGACTCATTGCCATCCTCTGAGGCTGAGAGAGTGTGACTTGCCCAAGATAACCCAGTGGGTTCACACGGCTCAGCTGGGATTTGAACCCTGGTCTTCAGAGCTGTAGTCTAATGCTCAAACCACTGCATTAAGCTCTCAGCCTCAAGGGAAGGCAATGGTAAATCTCCGTGGAACTAATCTTGCCAAGAAAACCCCATGATAGGTTCTCCTTGGATCGGCATAAGCCAGAAACGACTTGAAAGTAAATGACAACAACAACAACAACAACCACAGGATATTGAACCAGAGTCTACCTGGCACTGTGTTGTTAAATAAACGGCTAAGTTCAAGTTACTATCAGACTTCATTCATGAACCTTAATGAGTTTTACAAATTTCTTCTTCACTGTCTGGCTAGTGATGACACTTCCCAGAATAGCTGGCATGGCTAGTGGACAGATACCAATTAAAAGAAGATTGAATTGGGTACATTTATTAGACTCATCTGCCCACCCATCCCTTTATGAATATATTAGGAGAAACAATTGAGCAAGGTAAAAGCTGAGCCATACTGAGGCTTGGAAAAGTTATTTGAGGAGGAAGGACTACAGAATGCACCCAGCTAGCATAGCTAGAGACCATGCTAGCTGAGGGATTTTGGGAGTTGTAGTCCTTAAAAACCAACTTTTTCCAGGCTCACTAGTAAACATATGATATAATGGTATCATTGCTGAACGCATTGAGAGTTGTGAAGGTTTTATTTGTTTGTAAAGGACCAAAGTCTTCCAATAGATTAAATTAATTGTTGCAGTGAACTTCTCCGTGCTATTTGTGGATCTGGCATATGAATAAATTCTGATACGCATATATAGGAGCACATTTGGTTATCTAGATAACTGTCAAGGGTGTAAAATATCAAGGTACATCTGATACCGCTTTGCTCGAGTTATTGCTAAATCAGTGACATGTCGCATTACTTTTATAATGGCGTCTGCTGACGGGAAAATCTTTTTCTCCCCCAAGACTGATTCTCTTGATCCTTTATTAAAGAGAGAAGATGTGGTTTTTCTGCAGCTGCATATTTTCAGAAACGGGGCAAGCGAAGTAGTACTGTGGCAAGTCCTCTGGGACTTTATCTCTCTTCAAATACAACAGTGTAAACGAGATGAGATGCTTCGCTACTGCATCATGGGTGGCAAAATGCATTTGATGCTGTCTCAGTAAAAGAAAGGCTTGTATTGCTTTTTTAAAAAGAAACACAAAAACTCAAGTCATCTCTTTCAAATATTCCCCATAGCTATTTTGATACTTGATTGCTGGATCCCAGAGTTTTGTATCTGTGTTGGGAAGGGGAGAAAAGTATCTCGGGTTGAGCAACAGTTTCTTGAATTCATCATTTGTTCATTGGAGTTTAGTTTGGTTGAGTCTATAGGCCAGGATTCTGCATTACAGTCTATGTTTTGTAACTTTACAAATCTGTAGCTACGTTACAGGGATAGATAGACATCCTGTTACTGAATTGCAAAGATGTACATCTGGGCACTAGCAAGGGAGTGCTGGTATACATTGATGCTTTGGATGTGCATCAGTCATTCCTGATGAGCATTGGATACTTCTGATGCACACTGTACACTTCTGATGTGACTTGCACATCTCTGATGCTTATTGGGCACTTATGATGCACACTGGGCATTTCTGTTGCACACTGTTCACTTCTGATGTGCCTTGGATATTTCTTAAACTCATTGGGCACTTGTGATGTGTGCTGGACACTTATGGTTCATATCGGACATTTCTGGTGCACATCAAAGCAAAGCAAAGTAGCTATTTATATACCGTTTCATATCGCGCTATGCAATGTCTAAGCGGTTTACAATTGTAAGCTCTTTGCCCCCCAACAGCTGGATACTCATTTTAGCGACCTCGGAAGGATGCAGGCCTGAGTCAAGCCTGAGCCCTGGCTAGTATTGAACTTGCAACCTTGTGGTTTATGAGTGAGTGGCTGCAGTACAGGCAATGAACCACTGCACTACCAGGGCTCCTATCAGGAACACCTGATATGCTTTGGACACTTTTGATGTACACCAAGCACTTCTGATGGGCATTGAGCACTTTTGCTGTGCTCCAGTACTTTATAGCCAGTGTCCTGATGCTCCTCAAGAGTGCCCCAATGAGCATTGGATGCACATGACAGTACAGTAGGCCCTCCACATTCACTGGGGTTGGGACGCAGGACTTCTTGAATGTGGAAAAACCCAACATTTTTTTTAACCTGAGTGATCAACTATCTAGGAATCTCTAGGTCCTCCAATGTAACTCTATGGTCAACATCCATGGGAAGCTGGTCATAGAATCACACAGGATGTGCTTTCATTAGGAATCTCCTAAGACATGGGTCCTCCACCATGACCCTATGGTCAGCTTCCAGCAAAGTCATGCTGAAGGACGTAAAGATTCCTAGAGAGAACATATCACTCAAATCCATGAATAATCAAATCTGCAAAAGTCATAGCCGTAAACATGGAGGGCCGACTGTACTGTTATGTACTGGCAGTCTTCAGTTCAGAAAACACAATTTTCAGGAAGGTTCAGAAAACTTTTTTCCAAGCCAGAGATGTTCACAGCATAAATAATATTGACAGGATTGAAGTATTTTTGGCTACAGAATATAGCAAAATCCCATAGCAATTTGCCTGTAAATCAAAACAATCTTGTTCCCAGGATTCTCAGCCCCTTGTTTTCCCCTTTATGCCAAGCGTTCCCACTGACTGGACTTTGACAGTTCAAAATACGTTCTTCTTCACCCACATCTGCTTGTTAGCCAGTCTCAAAAGATAACCTCCTTCCATTTGGTATCACCACTCTTATAACACAACCAGTAATACAAAACATATACATAATATATGATCAGCAAGTAAGGCAAGATGTATGCTCCTGAAACCTTTGCTTATCAGGATTGTGGTGCATCCATCACTCCGCTGGCTGAGCAACGAATGCCCATATGTTGTAAAGCCACAGCAATATTTACATGTATACAGACATTGTGAAACTTTTCAATTGTATTTCTCACATGCACGAATCCACTTATGAAGACTTACTGTATATGCTCAGGTATAAGTCTAAAAATGTTAGTAAAATAAAATTGGTCCCCAAACCAGAGTTGACTTATTATATACGGGTCAATGTAAATACATTGGGCTCTTGGTATCCACTGGGGTTTGGTTCATTGATAGCAAAATCTGTGGATGTTCAAATCCCATTAAATACAATGGATAATAAAATGATGTCTTATATAAAATGGCAAAATCAAGGTTTCTTTTTATATATTTTTTTAATATATTCAAGCTGTGAGTGCTTGAATCCATGGATAAAAATTCTTGGATATGGAGGTCCGACTGTACTGTACTTTCGCTCTTCTATAAAAAGGGAACCATCTTCTGGGGAAAGGCAAGAATATAATCTGTCCTGAAAGTACTGACTCTGCTCCATTTTCTCATCCATTCACCCTTTAGTGTGAGCACAAATAGTTATTCTTGATGGAATTTTGTAAGTTTTTTGGCAGTGTTTTCCTTTGTGTCAGGGGTAGGCATCCTTTAGATCAGGGGTAGGCAACCTTTTTGAACCGGGGGCTGGGTTGCTGTC